CCGGTTCTTTCGAACATTCATCTATATCAAACTGACATTCATTTCCCTCGTAAGTAATTGGACAGTCACAGTGGTAGCTTGGGTCGTTCTGAGAACGAAGGAGGCACGTGGCTGGACAGTGCTGAACTTCGCATGATGCCCTTTTAGCGCAATTTAAAATTACATCTGGATAAATGAGACAGACGCAGTCATGATCATACACGCACTGTCCATCATTCAAACATGGATTGCCCGCACATGAATTAATGGCCGTTTGACAGAACTCGTCTCCATATCCTTCGGGACACAGGCATTGAAATCCTTCTCCTTGTGTTCCATTCACGCATGTGGCACCATTCTCACACAAATTCAAGTTACACGTTCGTATATCACTCTCGCAGGTAACACCCATGAAACCATCGATGCAGAAACAGTAAAACGCATTTTGATAATTTCCACATGTGCCACCATTAAGACACGGTTCACTTGCACATTCATTAATATCATATTCGCAGTTTGTTCCATCGAATCCCGCCCGGCAATCACAAACGTATCCTGCAGCGAAAGGTTCCCCACTGTTACTGCTCTCCCTACATGTGCCTCCATTTCGGCATGGAGCAGAAAGGCACTCGTTGATATCGTACTGACATAAGTTTCCATAAAGGCCGTCAGGACACACACATATAAAGTCAATTTCAGGTCTGGAGGTATTGTGAAAACATGCCCCACCATTCAAGCAGAGGTTTATCTCGCACTGGTCAATCGGGAACTCACAGTTCTCGCCGTTATAGTGAATTGTACATGAACAGAGATAGCCATCAAGAAATGTATCACAACTGGCACCGTTTAAACAAGGGTTTGACGCACAATAATCGATATCATTACAATAAGGCCCCCAGTGTCCTGGCGTACACAAACACTCGTAATCCATTCCAAGCGGGAGACATGTCGCATTGTTCTGACAATCATGCTCGAAGCATGGATTATAAATTTGACAATTGTCACCTTCGTAAAACGGCAGGCATGTGCAAGTATAAAATGTGTTCGCTTCGTTTCCAATACAAGTCCCGCCATTCTGGCATGGTCGATACGAACACAGCGTTCCATCGTAGCTACAGTTCTTTTCAGAATATCCTGGTTTGCACAGACAAAAATAGTCCTCCGGAAATATGGAGGTACAGCTTATGGTATTTTCCTCCACGCATGGACGATCATTGCACTTCAAAATTGTCTCTTCGCAGTAGAACCCAGTACGTCCAAGCGGACATAGGCACGTATAATTTAAGTGGCCATCTTGGCATACTGCCCCGACTGTACAAAGATTATCTGTAAGAACAACAATTCAAATTTGTAATGCCTTGACAAAATGTGTCGTACATTTTTCTGCAATATCACAAATTGACAGAACATTTTTGAAATAAAATTAAAATGTAAGATAATTTTGAATGTTTACTTAGTAAATGATTGACAAGTTTGTATTCAAAGATCAACCCTTTGGCGAATATTTTTTCAACCCAAAATTCAGAGCAAATCTTTTCACATTTTGTGAAATTTTCACAAAATTTTATCATTATTTTGAACCAAACAGACAGTTTCAGATACTGCTTTTATTTTTGATCAAAAGATTTGTCAATTTTTATCAACATTTATATGGAGAGATGTAGACTGTAGAAAAGTATTTTGTGGTTGGTAACAAAAGTTGACAATTGCGCTCAAAGAGATACACAGAATTACAAACA